TTTTAGTTGATGGGGTAAGATTTGTCTTAATAGGGAAAAGAAAAATATTTATTTTAATGAAAGGATCTCAGTAGTTTCCCTGCTTTGTGAAAGACATTCCTTAACCCTGTGGGTGCAGCAATCTGCACTCTTCTAAAATTGAGTTGTGCTCTCCTTAATTCCCCACAAGGTGACTGAGCAGTGGCTTTTTAAATCCAGCTACTACCCTTGAAACTTGAAGAGTTGCTTTCTTCTGAAGCATCTCCAGGTCCTACACCACCTGTGTGGCCTGAAAGCCCCTGGGAAGATGCCATGGGAACAGAGACAGCCTGTGATGCTTTCTTTGTGGAGTCCTACTGCACACTAAGCTCCTGAAGGTCTGAACTCCCTTGCTCCATGCATTGGCTCAGCACAAAATAAATAACATGGCTCATTACAACCCAAAATATATTTAAATAAACTCATATAATGTCAGGAAAAGGATAAGGAGGAAAAGTCTCCACAGACATTCAGCCACTGAAGTGGTAACAGCTTTGCTGCTCCAGGGCACCACCAGAGGCTGGGATTGCAGGAAGCAGAAGAGAGCTGGACCTGCTCTCTGTGGGGCAAGAGCTGCCAGCTCAGCCTGGTGCCCACCCTGCCCTGCCTTGGGCACAGGGTGAGCACTGGGGATCCTGTGCTGGCTGTGAGAGTGGAGATGAGAGGACAAGGGAGAGGGGAGGGCACTGCCCACAACAAAAGGGACATTGCTCCAGTTGAAGCTAAGGGGCCACAGCCTTGGCTTGTCTTCCAGTCCACAGCATCTGTCCCTCACTGGTTTCTTATTTCCCAATTTGGGAGTATCAAGCATAAAACAAATATTCCTGTACTTGTAGGTTTTATTTCTGTGAATGTCTGGAACAGAAAACATTCATCAAAGGTCAGAAATTTGTCCCTGTGAGAAGGACTGGTCAACAGAACACAAGCTAATCACTTCTGTTTCCTTCCTGCTGAGTGGAAGGCAAGTAAATAAACTCTCCAGCCTTAATCAGTTTTGACAGCCTGACTTCAAATGCCTTATTTTGACTTGCAGTTTGTCTCCTACATTGTCTAAAACATTTCTGATCTGCAGCAGCACTTCTTGTGGGTGCTTTTCATGGCACCACAGTGCATGAACTCCAGACTGAGCCCAACTAAAGAGTATAGCGTGGGGCAGGGTAAAAATGCCTTTGGAGTCCTCCTTTGATCCATCAGAATCACAGCATGCCTGACAAATTAACCAGCAATTGAGATACATTTCATGTCAATCCAGCTGCTCATTTTGAACATATCAGAGCATTTGTTGCTCTTGCTTGTGAAGAAATATCCCACCCTCTGTTCTGCCAGCTGACACGAGTACCTGTGTGCTCCCCAGCCATTTTCCTAAAAAAATCGTGGGGTTTGTTACAAACGAGCACCTTCAGCTGTCTAAAGCCTCCTGGCCAGCAAGGAGTGCCCGAGGCACCATCCTGGGGAGCCCAGAGCCTGCAAGCAGGGCAGGACACTGCAGGTCAGAGCCGAGGCTGGAAGGGACTGCAGGACATTGTCTATTCCACCCTCCTGGCAGAGCTGGGTCACACACAGCAGCAGGTGGGCAATGGTTTAAAATGGAAGCAGGACGGGTTTTAGCCCTGTAGGGGAGGCAGGCGTGGAGCTCACCTGATTTGGTGAGGGGTGGAGGGCTGCCAAGGCTCAGTGACACTGCTGGAAGCTAACACAGAGCTGAAACTCCTGTAGGCAGCCCTGAGCACCACCCAGATGTGCATTGTTAACTCCACATGGATTTTTCATGTTTGTGAGCCTGGATGGGTAGCAGCTTCAGTGGCATCGAGTCTTTATTCGTATAAACAAGCTGTAAAAGTGGCAAACAGCAGAATGCTCTGCAGCTCTGGAGATCAGAGTGTTCTCAGGAGCAGTTCTCTGGCCAAAATAAAGGACCTTCACTGTCTGCAGGCAGATCACAACCTGCACTCACAAGGAACACAGGATTAATTCAAGTTGCAACAATGTAAAGCAGATGAAATCTGTCAGAAAGTGAAAAATGCCTCATGTTTTTATCATTGTTGAGTAAACCGCCAATTTAGACATGAATTTATTGTGTTTTTTTAAAAAGACAGTAATAAATATAGTTTTAAAAATTTGTATTTACAGAAACAAAATTTACCCTTCTGTCATTAGGCTTTCTTGGTTTATGTGAAAGTCCAAGTGAGAAAAGCCAGATGGTGGTGAGGATTCTTTCCCCATCTGTACCTGTGGGAACAGAAATGCTAAGATCTGCTCTGTTTTAAAGATACCTTCTAAGCACATTATAGCAATTCTGAGTTTGTTTTTAGTCAAAACAGAACTCCTTGCAATTTGTTGATATATGAAAGGCCAAATAATTTAGTCAAAAAAAAAAAAAAAAAGAATGTACCCCAGTTTGGGGGCACATAAATCCTGGAAGAATCAAGTATATTTCCTAAATAAAATGTTTGTCACTTCAATTTATGCATCAAACACAACTCCTGAATTTACAATGAAAGCACTTTGAATGAAATGTTCCCTAAGTTATCAAAAAGAGCACACATCAGAAGCAGTCTAAAAGCTGTTTCTAAGCCAGTAGCAAAAGTAAAAATTTGGAATGGGAATTTCAAAGTTCCCAAATCAGGCTCAATGATGCCATACACAGGAAATACACAAAACCTGATGATCAGAGCAGCATGGCACTGCTCACAGAAGGGCAGTACACTGAGCAATAAATCCTGGTTCATTCACTGGGGGGGTCTATCTGCTACCTCTCTTTTGTAATCCTGTTTGCATATACAGGAGGAAGAAGACTTTGGGAACTCCCTGTCATTTCACAAGACAAAAAAAAAGAAAACAAAACCAGCCATCATTTAAACTAATATTCCTGGGAAATAGAAGTTTATGTTGCTTGAGCCAAAAATTGCAAAATGATCACTGTCCTTACTGGAGAAAGAACAGAGTGATCACTGTCCTTACTGGAGAAGGAACAGAATGCACTTACTATTTCAGTACACAGTGAAAAGTGCAAGCTAGACACATCACACAGTGGTTTGTGGAGCAGAAGAGCTTTCACATAAACATTATTTGGAACTGAATTCAGTACTAGTTATCTATTTCTAAATTAGTCCTCTGAGAGTTTTCACAGATAATCCCATTTTCTTTTGCTTCTGTTTCTTAGGGCCTGGAGAATACAGGGAGGGGTTTGTCTTTTTAAACATTCTTCGGAAGTTCATGCACTTGGAAGCTTCTGCTAGGAAATACAGTGTTGGTTGTTGCTTTGCCCTCCTCTTTCTGAGAGCTGGAGATCTTGGAGATCAGAAGGGAGTGAATGCAATGAACAACAGCCATGGATTTACACCTATCTGGAATGTCATATTCTTATTAACACAAATTAACATTTACACTGAAGATACCAGGATTTCTCACTTAAGCTGCAAAAGGATTTCAGCCTCCACTGGCTGTGGAGAAGAAAAAGATCTGGAAATTCATTAGGAGAGAAAGCAAGCATCTTTGGACTGCTGAAGAGTAGGAAATTTAACTCTTGACAGTTTTATGGGAGATAAAAATGGTAGTAGTCATTGTCTTGGTTTCAACAGGGACAGAGCTAATTTTCATCTTAGAATCATACAACCATTAAGGTTGGAAAAGACTCCCGAGACTGCTGAGTTCAACCATTAGCCCAGCACCACTGGGTTCACCATGAAACCCTTTTCCCAGTGCCACATCCACACAGCTTTTGCCCACCTCCAGGTATGGTGATCCCACCAGTGCCTTGGGCAGCCTGTTCCAAAGCTTGACCACCCTTTCAGAGAAGAATTTTTCCTAATATTCAATCTAACCCTCCCCTAGCACAACTTAAGGCTGTTCCCTCTCCTGTTACTCCTTCTCTGGGGGAAGAGACCAATCCCCAGCTTGGTCCTGGCTCCACCCTCCCCTCGGGGAGCTGTAGAGAGTGATAATGTCTCCCCTGAGCCTCCTTTTCTCCAGGCTGCTCCTCCTCATTCCCGAATTTCATGGGGTTCAGTTTGGAACAGAGGCTTCTGAATGTGGTATCATTGCCCTCGAACAGCCAAAAAGCCTTTTCATAAGAGGAAAGTTTTCTTCAGAGATGAAAAATGAACAACAGACTCACAGAATATTTTAACTATAAACCCCTCATTGGCAATTACAAAAAAAAATTCCAGCTGCTGAGATGCTTTTGTCAAGGAATGGTGCTCACTTCCTTTGGAACTCTGTTCCTCAGTTTCTGCTTTACAGTCCTCAAATGTACCTCATCAGAAAACAAAAGCAGCTGGGTGTGTGCACGTGCAGAACAAGGTCTCTCAGGAAAAAATACCTCTCAAAAGAGAGTTGTTTTCAATAGTCAGGTCTAAGACTAAAATTGTCTACATTTTTAAATAATCTAAAAGAAATTAAGGTAAAAAACTTGGTCATATGAACACTCTATTAACCTACATCTGAATAACCCAATTTAACAACAGCTCCAAAACGTGGCAGTTGTGCTCCCCAATGCTGGATCAAGCAATTGATGACTGCAAAGCACACATATTATCTGTGCTATTGCCAGACACAGCCCGAAGAGAAGTGAAACAGATCACCTCTGTCAGGAGGAATTTCTGTGCTGGTTTAAGGTTATCATTAGCAAGACTCAAAAATCTATGGTGTTCCAAATATATATGCAAGAAGACAGAGTTCTCACAGGAAAGTGTTGAAATGTATAAAGATTGCTACAAGTGAGGGCATCTTGATGCTCATATATTCTCACCACTGTTGGTCAAAACTGAAATCCCAGCATACTTCATATGTGGATGTGTCCTACTTCCCTGAACCAGGAGTTAGCTTTTCTTTTGTTTGTCAGAGGATGTATTTCCTGACATAATGAGGCAGTCACTTATCTATCAAAATGACAACACAGACATTTGAGAGAACATACAACAAATTCTCATTATTTACTACAAATATATAAACTGAAACGAAATCAAACTGAATAACTTGACTACATGAAAATTATGAAACAGTTTGTATTTTATACATTGTGTATGTACAATGGTTTTGGAAATGTAGGTTTTATCCATGCAAATTTAATACAAAACACTATTTACAAAAAAAAAAAAAAAAACAACAACAGTAGGAACATTTTTCGAAATAAACATGTATGTTGGAAGCTCCAGCAATAATGGAAATCCTGAAAAAAGGCTTAATACAGTATAGTACAAGCAGACAATCTTCAAAAGTATGAAAGATGCGCTTTACAAGAATATGAAATGCAAAATCAATTGAAATGCACTATCAAAAATTTTGCAAGTATATACACAATTTGAGCATCTATTTTTAATGATCATTCTCCTGCTGTGCCCTCAGAACTACTTTTGCCACATTCTGCACACATTTACATGTTGACCATTTGGTTACATGGCATCTTCTGAGTTTTATAACCACAAGTTAAAAAATAAAATAACTGAATACCAACTGAATGATAATCATAAAGCACATTTTCATTGTTCTAGACATTCCATAACAGTAAAAAGTATTCACATGACTCCCAGTGTATTCCACCAACCCACCCTTTTTCACTACACCTGTGTGCTCCTCTTGGGAATCTCAGCCTTGCCTTGCTGCTGGTGCCAAGAGCAGCCGCAGGCAGGAACTCCCACGGCTGCAGGAATGCTTCAGGTACCACATCCCTTCAGCAAACACAGCTGCATCAACAGCTCCACGAGAAGAGCACAGTCCTGCACAGCTTCAGAATGTGTATCAATACTCAACACTCACTGCAAGCTCCCGTGCCTGGGATGGCACAACCAAACCCTACGCAAATGCAGTAATTTTGGAAATATTTCACTGGTTCACTCATTATAAAATGAAACAAAACAAAAAAGTATCCTTGTGGCATTTCCAAATATTCTCTGTTTAACAATCTGACTTCATAAAACTATGATGGAAAAAGTTATGTTTGCCTTATTTCCTGTAACTTTGAATGAAGTGAGGAAACCCTCCTTAGTGCCAAGAATTTACTTTAAATGACTGACTTTATGTAGCAACTGAGTTACAAAACTCTGGAGGGAAAATCCGGTCTCACTGAAACCTTACAATCATAGACTTATTTAGGTTGCAAAAGATTTTAAATGGATCAAATTCAACTAAAAATTCAACACTGCCAATATCAAAACTTTTCCAAAACAATTAAATTTGCTGTCAGTCTGAGCTATTCTTTTCCTTTAGAATTTCCTAAGATACTAGAGTAGCCATGGAAAAAATGTTTGGTTTTTGCTTAAGTTTAGGATTCTAAAATGTAAAAAATATTCTGAATATTCTTTTTGGAAAATGCAATTTGCTATATATAGTTTGAACTAAAAATGATTTATTAGATGTCATTTTATGATAACTGGTATTCCTTCCCTAGAAACTGACCAAGTAGCTTGCAGCAATTTTGCTGCCCTTTGCCTCTCATGCTGAAAAAATAATGATCAAACCCAATGAGGGAACAAACTCTTCATGTAAGTACAATTTTAAGATAATATATTGCCAAAATTGTACCATGTGAAATATTTAAAGACAAATAAAGGGCATATTATTATGTAACAAACACAGAACTTCTCCTGTGCAGAACTCCTGGGAAGTATAAACTGAATCCAATTAATCACATATATTCTCTATTTAAGCAGTGAAGATCAGCAGATTTTTTTTCACAGGAAAAAAAAAATTATCTTCATATTTTACAAAACAAACCTGTACCATAACACTGCTCATTAAGAATAGACAGTTCACCTTTCCCTCTGTCTGTAAATGAATTACACATGACCCAGTGTGTTGCATATGGAACAAACCCAGCAACACTCTTTGCATTCCCCCATGGAAGTGCTCGAGGGCCACATTAATCAGTTCAGAGCCACAGTGCAATTTTCAGTCAGAAAAGGTCAGTAGTTCCCAGAGCAAAAGCTTCCTCTGCCTCACTACACCACCCACTGCTGTTGGAAGTTAAGTATTGGCGAGTATCTATTATTGAACACTCTCAAATTATCCTTTGGTGGTTCTGCTCAGGTTGCAGCATCTCTTTAAGAGCAAGGAGGTGTTTCTGCCAGCAGTTGTCCTGCCCAGGGCTGGGCACAGGCAGTGCTCCCTGCAAGGCCATGCTTCCTGCAGCACTGGGACACAGCTGCCCAAACCAAACGGGCTCTGGAAACACAGATGGAAAATTCCTCCTTGTTCTAAACTCTACTGGAAGCTCCATGCACTCAAGAATCCTCATCCCTCAGCTACAGAACATGCCTTTCTTTACTAAGACTGAATGCTTTTCCTGGTGAAGCGATTCAATGGGAAATCAACTCAGAGCACTCTCTGCTTGGGCAAGGCTACATCGCCTTTCCCACTGCTGGTCTTAATGACAGGTTTTTAATTCCAAATTTGTGTGTGTTGGGGTGTGTTTATTTGTTTTTGCTTTTTGAGTAGAGATCCTCTAACAGAAACACAGACATTAGCCTGACTTGGTGAGAGAAAAGTGACATTTGACTTGCCAATACCAAACCACATCTCCTGTCTGCAGAAAAAACTCCCACAAGGTTGCTTTCATTTGAAATCGGTGGAATCAGCCTTTCAAATAAACATTTAAGGAATCAGCAAAAGGAAGAAGTGCCAGACCTTCATCCTTCTCTTCAGTACCAACATGACATATGAAAGTTCCATTTTAGTGAAAGCAGATGTCTTCATTTTTGTTTGGATTTGGCTAGATTTATGTCAAAATCTGAGGAGACTACCACTAAATCATTTGATATTTGAAATAGTTTTTAGTGCAGTAAAAACCTAATGGTTGTCCTCACCTACAATTTTATTGAGATAACACACCTTCCCACCTCACTTCAGTGTAATTTTTCCTACCATTTAAATACTGTTTGCTTATCAGAAGATTTTTATTAAATGAATCCACGTAACATTTTACAACTTCATTTGACTTAGCAGAGGTCACTATTTTAGTCAAGAATCTGACACTTACGTTTGCTAGTGTCAAACAAGTCACATTTGCTATGGTCTCCAGCTCAGGTGTCCCACAAATCAAAAAGGCAAGAATCTACTGAAGTCAAAGCTAAAACTTGCCTTGACTTCAGTAAAGGCTAGGATTAAAAAAAAATAAAAAATGAATCTTATAATCGATGTCAGTTGTTTATTGTTTCAAATTAATTTCTCCCTATTTTATGCTCATAGTTCTTGGTTAGATTTTGAAAGGCCTCCAGCTGCAGCGGTCTGGGTGGTTTCTGCATCCCTGGCAGTGTCCCAGTGAGCACACTGGATTAGCAATGCTGGAGAACAGATGTAAAGCATTTCTGAGAACTCTCTGGGAAGACACTACAGTTCACAACAATTATTTTCCTGTCACTGCTTTAAGACCTCACCATAGCTGGAACATTATTGCTCACGTGAAAGATCAGTCATGTGTGACATACTGCATCCAGTGACATAAAACACAGAAAAAATACACAAGGCCAGAAGCCCTGCCACTATGCTGATTCACTCTAATCTACAGTTTATGCCACATTATTGCAAAGTTTATTAGGAAAACTTAATGCATCTCCCTTCATGTTGTAAGTGAAAATGGAGTAAGTGCAACAGGAACTGACCAGGCCTCTGTTTTTAACTATCCTATCAGCTGTATCAAGTACTAAGTAATGGCATCACATTCTAAACAAAATGGAAAATGGGCATCTCAAACCCTGGAAATGTTTGGAGCAGGGATTCTGGAATCACAATAGTTCACCAGTGCCACAGAACAATTTCTTGGAAAAATTAAAGAGGAAGGCGGAAAGTGACCCAAGGTAACCAATAACAGCGATCACCAGATCTGAGAATGAACAAAAATAAATAAGATGCTGGGAAACAAAGAGAAAGAGAGAAAAGAATAGAGTATGCAAATTCTTGTACAGAGAAGACACAACTATTTCCACAGGCTACCTGGATATGAAAACTTGAAATTCAAATCTTTTTAGCATAATTTTTGAAATTGCTCTTAAAGAAATCACAATGGGTACCAAAGCCAATGTTAGCACAGCTTTGGATTGTTATTTGTAAAACCAGTCAGAGATGACAAAAAGATTCATCCAAGCACAGTGAATCTTTTCTCAGACTGCTCCTAAGGGTACTTGAAGGTTTTAATCTTTGCCATGCTAAAAGAGAAGCCTTGGAAGAATCATGATTATCCTTCCCATAAGCAAGAAGGGAGCCATAATAATTTCCAAGGAATGGCAAAGCAAGACTGTTGCTGGCAAGTCTGTGGGGAAGAACTGCAGAGTACTAAAAAACCCAAAAAAGTTGTTTTAGTAGTTTTGAATTTAAAATGAGTACATAAGTTTCATATCCAGTTTTCAACTTACTAAGGAGTCTGAAAAACCCCTAAGTAGTCAGCAGCTGCCATGCTACATCAAAGGGAATTCTTAATGTTTACACTGTGATGTAACTTAATAAAATTAGTTCAAGTAGGAAAAATGTTACCTTAAGATCAGAAAATGTTTTTAAATATGACAATGAAATAGCAGTGGAGATCAGTTTTCACTAACTGAAAGTGACAATTTATAGTCAGCACTTCCATGGCTAAGACTGAACTAGAACTTTGCTCTGGTAGTAACAACAACAGTGAAATGAAAGACAAGGACTAATTCTTTTTGAGTGGCTGGATTTAAAAATCCAATATAATAATATGCAGCAGGCAAGCATTTTGCTTAGTGAATTATAGCTTTTTCATTAGTTTTTGCATGACTTTTCAGATAGTGCCTTTAATGAAAATAGAGATGGAAGTTGTTAAAATAACCATTAAGAAGAGATACAAAAACCAATTAGAGATAGATTTGAAATACAATATTTCAAATGTCAAAGCAATCCAGTTTCCTTAAACACGTATTTATCTAACCTAAGATTTATAGCTAGGACTTTGCAAATTAATTTATACACCAGCCTCTCCATAAGGTGTGTTTTAAGACAACACCATATGAACAATAGTGAATAGTAAACTATTTCATGTACACGATCTCATTTCAATGGATTTAAAAATAAGTGGTAATTTTAAACTTATCATCAGAAAAAAGTTATTTTTCCTGTCAGCTATTGCCTATAAGGACTACAGTAGAAGGAATAGACAGTACTCCTCCCTTATTATTTTATGAATTATCTTACATGGGGTCTTGATCAATTGGAAAGAACAGAATCAAATCTTGTCACATGCTTGGCAAACACATCCCTCAACTGAAAATAACTTAGCCTGAAATAGAAAGTCTGTGGCAGTCAAAACATTTTTTTAATTGAGCTACCTATTCATGAGGAACTAACTAATACAAACAGATTTACTACCGAAAGTATGAAATTATTTGCAACTTGTTTAGAGAAGAACTCAACTGTGTATGGTTTCAAAATGTTCTCGAAACACCAAGAATTTGTGCAGAAGCAAACAAAATAAATGAACTCGGGAGTTTCAAAAAACCACCACAGTGGAAATGTTTTGTTTTCACATTTATCAATTGATCTAATGTCTCAGCACAGTGACATTTGTACAAACTGACCCGTGTGCTAATGCCACACTCATGTAAATTACACAATAAACCCTGCAAACACTAAAAAATAAACACTGATACTTCCAGCTAAATTATGGATCTACCTGTTGTAAAAATGTAATGTGAGATCAGGAGCAATTACACAAAATCCTGAACATCACAGCGTAAACCTGAGATTTTGGCAGTTTTATCAAAATGTCCTAAATTACTCTGTACGAATCACTAGTCCTCATGTCTTATTCATCATGTGTATTTGTTTGTCCCAAACAAAGACGACAACTTTGTTTTTGTCCAACAATACATTAAACCAAAAGTAATTAGGTATTATCAAATTAAATATCATAAATAAAAAGTATTTACAGTATTTTCTAATTATTAGACAACAAATAACCAATTAAATTGTGCAACAAACTTAAAACACCCAACATCAAAAATGTGAAGTGTTACTTAAATCTTCACATACTGATTTTACAAAAAAACTATTAAAATATTAAAAAATTTCCATTTTATCTATTTTAAACAAATAAATTTCAAAAATGCTTAAGACTATTAAGAATTATCAATTACACAGGCACTTCACAGGTAAACAATCTACAGTAAAACTGAAAAAAAATATTTGGCACCAACCTAGAAGACTGGAAAAACTCAATAAACTGTGTCCTTTTCTCACTGTATCCTGTTCTGTGTAATCACCAGACACTCAGACTCAATACTGGCAATGTTAGAAGTGCGTAAGTTACAATCATGAGTGCAAAAAACAAAAAAACGCAAATATTAAGCTTTCAGAGAGTGAAAGGGGATTACAAGTGATCAGTTGCTCACATTTTTACCATCATACCATCGCTACATTTTTGTCTTATCTTTAAATCAAATTATTGACTCGAAAAATTAAAGTGACGGGGAGTGTGCTTTGTACTTTCCAAAGTAATTCAAACATTTTCAATGTAAAAAAAGAAATCCAGCATTTAACTCTAACACTGAGATGTTAAATGGCAGCTTTTAACTTAACTAGAAAGAGAACCTGATGCTACCACGTTCTCTTTGTACATCCAATTACAAGAGAAAAAAGAAAGAATAGTTAAGTTCTTTTAACTGTGAACTGACTCCAAGGCTTTCACACACAGCTCCAAAGTAAGGCTCTCTACAGCATCTGGACAGATTTTAGTTTTTGATGGCTTCGGTGTTCCCATGTGGGAGGCTGAAGTGCCTCAGAGCAATCCATATCAACAGAGCAAATGGGAAGCTGTCTAGCTGCCAAGAAGTTGTGTCACATAGAAGAAAGCTGAGATACTTTCAACGCAGGCAACTCAAGCAGAGCTTGAACTGTGAGGCCAACCTTCACCAGACCCCTTTCCTCCAGAATGTGATGAGGCAAGCAAAGTCTCTCCTGCAAAAGAACACAGGACATTTAACCAGTTCCATGCCTTGTCCTCAGGGCAGGTAACAAACACATTCTCTGAAGCCACACACACGTCAGGAAGACACTTGCAGAGAAAAGACCTTTGGCATTAAATGTCACATGTGGCTCTCTACAGCAACAGAATGGGCAGAAACTTGTTATAGCTACAATCTGTATAAAGTATTAAAATACAACAATGTCAGAAGATACATAAAAGACTGCTAAATTCATAAAGTAAACTTTTTTTTCATAAGCAGAGTATGAAAAACAAGCTGGTGGGTGCTGTTGGCTCAGTGGCCTTCTTCCCCCTTCCCCTGTTGTGCAGACTTATTAGCAATCTTTCTCTTGGGATAACTTAGAAGTGCTGATAGACTCAATAATAAACCATTCTCCAAGAAAGTCATCATTCAGTCTCAAAATTCAGCACAAGCTGGACAATCTTCCCAACTGCCAGCTAGCCTTACAAGTAATTTATGAGGTAAATCTCAGCACCTCTAGCTTCTGAATGGCCTGTGGCTCCACATGAGACAGAAGTGATGGCGGAGCAGTAAACCAGCTTCTAAATCTATCTTCTAATTTTCTTCTTGCACTAAAGAAGATCAAGGGAATTTTTTGTCTCATAATATGTAGGAAATAATTGAATTTTTAGTTTTTTTCCCGTCATCAAAGGAGGTAAGAGGATAAACTTGGGCAGCAGCAGCACAAGTAATGGGCTGCAACTACAGCCATGCTAAAAAAGACAGCTAATCATTCAGGCTACAGACTTCTGTAAGTGCAGGATGTTTCCCAGGCCAATTCATTTGGCATGAATTCATGCCAAGCAAGTTGCTAAACTCAAGACTTTCAAAACATCACCCTCAAGTCCATTCCTTTGTTTAGATGACAATATATTTTATAAGGAGGTCAGTGTTATTTTTACTATTAAAAAGTAAAAACTTTTATATAGTAAAAGTAAAATACACTGTATAGTAAAAGCGCTATACAGTGTTATTTTACTATTAAGAACTGACTAGAAACCCATAAAGTTCCTCAAGTTCACTTCATAAGCCTGGAATGGAATTTCTCTTCCGATCTTCAAGTTCTCTGGTCAGTGTCATAATCACTGTTGCTCCCTAAATAAAGCTCCCCTAACCCCCCAACTCACTATCTGCTGACATCTTCCGTGGTTATAAATAAATCAATAAAGAAATTAGTGTACCTGTGGAACGCCCAATTTTTTACAAGCATCAAGAAAGTTTTCAACATTTCTTCGGCACTTTGCCATGCTGAGTTTAGGCTGTGAAGACAGGATATTAGATCTTCCTCAGACATTTATGAAAGAGTGCTGCATACTTCTGATATAAATTCACTTACAGTTACTAAAACACAAGACACATTCTATGAAGACTCAGTATGAGAAAAATAGCTCAAACTAAACTTCTGAGCCTTGTTTAGTGCTTCTCATAGAAAAACCAAAGTGAGTAATGTAGCAAATTAATGCGGTAAACATGAGTCACAATGTTTTAGTACTGAAATTCAAAAGCTTGTTTTCGTGTAAGATGAACCAAAAATGAGATAAATGATTTATGCCTTACCACTGCTGGCGATGGGACGTGAATGCTGGCAACAGAACGTGGCCTTATATGATTGGCTAAATGGCAAAGAACCACCCCATCCATCAACGCTGCTCCAATGTCATCTGGCAAAATTACCTTCAACCTGGATTCAAGATTCTAGGAAAAAGGCCATAAGTAAGTTACCCTCAACATGAGCTGATTTTTCATTTTAAATCCAGGGTATTTTAAAGCATGGAGATGTTTAAAAGGAACGTTTTAATACTAAAGTGAAATAAACAGAATAAATTTACACTGTACTCAGTATAAACATCCTTTTCTCCTTATAGTCTCTGTGTTCCTTTTGTTTGTATTGTTGGGGTTTTCTTGTGTTTTATGTTATTATGTGGGTTTTTTTTAAATGACACAACAACATACATTGAGAAAGACATTCTATCAACAGTGACCAGAATACACAGCTCTCAAGCCCATACAATAAACTCACTGCTCATAACAGGAAAGCACAGAACTTAAGGACAGAAATGTTATGCTGAATATGTCATCAGTGCAGAATCTGTGAATTGAAACCATACAGGATTTTATGAGAAGGAGGAAAAGAAAAGGAAGGGAACACAATTGTGGGAAAGGCTATTTCACTTGTACAGATGAAAGTTAAGCTGGGGTGGCCAAGGGCCCATGCAAAACAGAGAAGGCAAACAATGATTTTTTTCCCACTCCAACAAGACTTCACTTCTCAGGAAGTGAACCAGACAAAAAAAACGTCCTTCATAGAAATGACACCACAAATCAGCATTGCCCTGAAATGCAGATTTTCTTTAGAAAATCTAAATTCTTTAGAGTTAACTATGATTTAGTTAACTCTAACTGCTAAATGCCTTGAAAACAGAACTACACAAAAAACAATTTACTGGAAATCTGAAATGCAGATCCCATTCAGTATTATAGCATTTGTAGCAACTTCCTCCAATCAAAAAGCATTTGGCCATTTAGTAAACAATAATCATTTTTCTTCAGATCTCAGGTCAAACAATATCAAACACAAGCAGATTTATTGTCTCCCTAGGAAAATTTAAAACCTTGGGGAAAAAAATTAATTTCTCTTTATTTTTTAGAAAGAAAACAACCCCAACTAATTTCCAGTCGATATTTTTGTTGGACCCAAACAAGTACCAGTGCAGGCTGCTACATAAAATTCCTTAGGAAGTAATACCACTACAGGAATGCACTTGTACAACTGCAACAATTTGGAGCCTTTAAAATGAAAGTTTAAATTGTGGTACAGGACAAACTAAATGCACTGCACCCATTTTAGTGAATGATGGTACCTACACTGCGAAGCTGTCTGATTTGCTCCCTTTCTTCCCTTAAATGTTCCATTTTCCTCCTCATAGTAAACCCAGGATCCACTGCACCATAGTCCTGGCGTGAGGCACGGCTGAAAGCTATCAAACACGAGGGAAGTCAGTCAGCACAATTCAGATCAAGAACATTCAAAAACTAAAGATCTGTAAGTGAGGATAAAAACAGGAAAAAACTCTGGAACTTTTAAGAACAAATATATACAAGAAAAGATGCTGCCTATGAAACATCTTTCAAATAAAATGCAGAGATCATTTTACTTAAGTGTAAATGAATAATTAGAAAATACGGAGACGTATCGGTAAGGGACATACAACTCCATCTGCACTTCTTCAAGAACCTCAATCTAGCTTCGAAACTACTTGAATTGTGTTTTACTTTCAATCAAGTATAAAGCCTTTGAGCCCTCAAACCTCAAGAACAATTGTGTACCATTTCCCTGTTCCTTGACAGTGACTAAGTATGCAGAAAATAAAGGAGTGGGAAGAAAAAAAAATTCAAATAAACAACTCCCCCTCCCCAAAAAAAAACCCCAAACAAATCACTCTGCAACTTGAGAAGCTTCCAATTATTTACTTGCCAAAGCAGAGCTGTCTGTGCCTTTCCCAGTACTATGCAGTGATAAGTAAATTGAGTGAACTGCTGTACTGTGACATCTGCTATGCTTACTGCCTCTTGCAGCCTGGGAAACAAACACACTGTGTTAGAGAACAGCAGCTTACCTGACCTTGGTTTGAGACCAAATGGACCATGAGTGTTACTATCTGTCCTTTCATAATCCTGTTGAAAGAGATGAAGTCAGTTTTCTTCCACTCATTAGAACAAGTAACTTTTGTTCCCATCAAGACACTGTTTAAATTATTGCCTAAGGAGAGTCCTTCTGCTTAACTGTAAAAGTCTTCTGAAGAGGACAATATAAAATAAATGGAATAAACAAAACCTTACTACATACAGATAAAACTGTCATAATGAGAATGAAAAGCAGCACCAGATTATCTAAAATCTACTGCAAAATGTTTCAAACTACTGCAAACCATTCTGTAAACAGTTTAAGACAGCTGTAAGCAGATGTAAATATTCTCCCAATGTTTAGCATCAAAACATTTCTTAGAAACATCTACTTCCAACTATGAAGAGCAGGTTTTTCTCATTTCACCATCTGAAAAAAGAAATACACTCAATATCTTGGTATGTACATGAGATACTCTTGTTTCATTCCAGTGTATTTTGTGAGATGTTTTAATTCTGCTCTCTCGGGCTCCTTACTGACACGAGGTGGAAATGTTAATAATATTTGCTTTATTTTGAGCTAAGCAGTGCAGTGCTCTCACAGTGACACTCCATGCACAGCCACTCCTGAATGAAGCTGGAAGGCTGCACCACAAAGGTGACACCCAGGACTGAGAAGGATGAAACTCCTTGAGAAGTGTCAGCACCTTTGGGTTCCTGGTGATGTGTAAAGTACTAGACCATAAACGTCAAATCCTCTCAGTGACTATGTGCCTTGAAGAACAGTCTGCCTTAGGAAGGCCTATCAAATATGGCAAATCTGATTTTTGTTTCATTAGTATTTTCATCAGGAAAGATAATAGAGACAAAGCAATATACCTTTCCTCACACCAACCAAAAAGATGAACTCCAGGGGAGATCAGAGTTGCAAAGGTAAAACAAGTGGTAGTATCTGTCTCTAGTTTCTACCTCTTTTTGAATTTTTATTATGATGAAATAACTTCTAATTGTAATTTCAAAGGAAACTAACAGCTTCATATCTTCATGAAAACCCGGTGACAGTAATGAACACAAAGAAATGTTTGTTGAATGAAAAACAAACCCACAAACTTGTACCTCAGACGACACAGGAGACTGTGGGGACACATTAGTATTATCACTGTCTTGCTAAAAAGAAATCAAAGAGATGAAATTATAAAAATGAAAATGATGATTTAACAATAAACATGAAATTATGAAACACACAAGACATGTACCATTTGTCAAGTATGCTATAAACTGGCAGCAACTAAATTTTAAAATATGCAAGGTAAGGAACCACTATTCGCTGTGTACGTCAAATATTAGTTTTACATCACCTCTGCTTGATAGGTGAATTAATTTTGCTATTACCAAAGCAAGCAAATGTCCTACTGTTCCCCAGCAGGTAATCATTATCTTTTTTTTTTTTTTTTCAAATAAAGAAGTATAATAGTTATTTCTGCTATGGCTTTGGAATGCAAAGTTAATTTGTTCAAAAAAGACAAGAGAAAAAATATATTTTTTAATATTTCACACAATTACTACATCTCACCTCATCATTTTCATTTCCACTTGAACTCTTCCTGGAAGACTTATACTGCAAAACACATACAATTATTATTTTAAAATGAAAGCATGAGTTTCATTTGAACTAAAAGGCTTGCTTTTACTCAGATGTTACTTATTACTGATGAAGCTGCTGAGAAAAACAAGCCATGTTACAGAAAAAAAGGAGCAAAAAAGAAACAGACCAGAAAAGAACATGACATTTCTAGGTGAGACAAGATCTTCATTAGTTGAAGAGAGAAGTGCATTTTAAAACTAAACACTTTTATAATGTGAACTCTGCATGTGACAACTGATCCAAGTGAAAAGATCTTAACAACTGCTAACACAAAACATTATTTCTTAGAAAAAATTATGCAACCTGTGAAAGCTACTTTTGTAATACGTTTTATGTGACTAAGACTGCTTACACATCAGGAGACTGACCTGACATTGTAAAAAATTAAATTAAAAATGATTAAGGTTGCCTTTAAAACTTCAAAGTCTGATCACATCCTTTTATGTATTTAAGACAATGCTTTTCCCACAGGTCTGTCTGATTTGTTGTGTGCTGCCTTCATCACTGTCCCACTTCCCTGATTATGCTAAAAGTGGAGGAAATTAAGGAGGAACTGAAGGAAAAAATTTACAAAAGGGTTATTTAAAAAAATAAACTAATTTCATTGTTTACAGATCAAGTGTACTAAAAAGTAGGAAAAGTCCCACGCAGATCAAATTAAATAGATCATCACTACAAAAGTCTAAGTCTGTGGGGTGTATGTGGCCAGGTTACTCCTCCTCATGACATGACACAAATGCAGGATAAGCAAGGGACAACTACTGGCACTAGTTTCTCACAAGAGCACTGGTACCTATTTTTTTTTTCCTACTTTGGCATGGCAGACAGGCTCTGTTTCAGCAGCTTTTTGCCTTGGTTTTGCAAATGGAACTATGAAACAGTGTATTTTGTTACTGGTACAGGCTGTTTAATTCACTTTAGGAGACCCATCTAGAGCTGTTTGGAATGTGACTTCAGGCATCTGCTTCCACCACAGAACTCACAACTGACTGGGGTAAGTTACCAGAACCACTTCTGTATTGGTAGCACAGCTCTTTAACTAGGCAAACAATTGAATTCTATTTTACTTCAGAAGCTTTTCTCTCTTTCTCCTCCAATGCCACAGCAAAAAAATTAATTTCAGGATGAAATCCCTGGAAAGAGGATACAACTCCATAATCTCTCCAGGGGAAAAAAAAAAAAAAAAAAAAAAAAAAAAAAGCTTCTATAATCACAACAATGTATCTGAACTGTATGGCATGCTCTGATCTCCCAAGAATTTAATTTCTTTGAAGTTCCCTGGCATTTCACAAAGATATTTGATGGCAAAGATCCAAGAAACTCATAAGTGATAAATTTAATTTTAATTCAACCTAGCATTGCTCAGAACTCTCCATTTCTCTACATAGCCCGAAACAAATGTTACCCAATGCTGCTAGAAATTCCCCTCTGTTCTGCAGAAAGCAGACACTGGCACCTGCTGACTGCGGGTGCACACTACAGCAGCAAGGGAACACTGAAAATTTTCCTTCTGTAATGCAAACTAATGTCATGAGACCCAAAAGGCATACATCATTCCTAGAACCATGCTGCACAAAAAAAAAAAAAAGGCAATGTATATTTTCTTTGCACTAAAAATAAGTACATAAATAGCCAAATAAAAATCCCTCCAAAGAGATGGTGAAGGATCAATGATAGGATTGATTTTTGCTTTTGCCAGAAAACAATGAATTACTCTTTTATTTAAAGGATAAACAAAATCTTTGATCTTTTTTTTCTCTTGATTTTCTCGCACTCTCAAATTAACCTAAATACATACATATATATATTAATCAAAGGAGACAGATAAAAAATTATATGTTACATGCAAATTTAAAAGCATCACAACCTTTGAGGATTTACCTTTACTTGGTTTTATAGTTTCTTCTACTCATTAAAAACAAAAGCATCACCCACTCTTATTCCCCCATTACCTTGAAATACTCTTTTCTAATTTGTTTACTTCTCCTTCTTTCTTCATTCTGCCAGATTATTGGCTGTGTTTCTGGCCAATGCTGCTCATCCACTGAATCCTTCTGGTTTTCCAGTGGCTATAATGGTCAGAAATACTTTCATGTAAAATGTAAACATACCTCTTATGTATTAGCACAAATTATTATGAACTACAATTGTTAATTGTCTGCCTGGCTCAATCTGGATTTATGACTTGAATGTTTAACAGTCTTAATGGTGATTCTGGTAGAAACCACTAATTTCTTTTCAAATTCTAAAATATATTTCACAGAAGAAAAAGAATCTGTGAAATAATTCTTCAGAAAATAACACTTTTCAGCACTGAGACTAATTTTGTAGGTAGGTTAGGAAGCTGCCAAATGCTGCCACAAATACACCAGTTCCAAGTGTGGTTAGCCACTATCACATCTTATTTCTCACTGTGGATACTCATCACACAGAGAAAGGATGGCTACAAGAAGACAGTTTGAGTATTTGTTGGCTTTTCCTATCTAAAAGATTATACTCCCCCACAAGCTAGAAGAGAAATCTCTTTTAAAGTACTGTACTATGCAATACGTACTGAGGAGACAGGTAAAGTAGATTGATTCTTAAATAATAAAAAATATATATGACTGTCTACTTTATGAAAACTGAAAGTAGACAATCTGATTGAACTGTTTCCTACGGGTACCACAACGTTCCTGTTTCTTCTAACAAGAATAGGAGGGCATATAAAGCAATTGTAGATAACTAATAGATTAAAATAATAAGGCACTCTCTACAGTTTAATTATAATTTTGTCATATTATGCAAGCTTCTCACTGAGGTATGGGAAATGAAAAACCTACAAACTTCAACTCATCTAGAAGTTGCATCTATAAACCAAACTGAACATTATGGTGAGGCAATACCTTTATATGGAAAAACATACTAAACCCAAGAAAATAAAATTTATGTTTCATTAGTTTTAAGACCTTAAAGCTGGTACCACATGCTTTTAAAACAAAAGGCCTCCATTACAAACAAGTCAAATTGAGACATAAGATCTCCAAAGGGTTTGTATTTTCCACCATAATTAAGACACTTTCAAGAACTATGTGTATAAGCAACCATATGAATGCATAAAAGTTTTCTGCCATAGAAACAAAATCAAGGAAACAATAACAACAAAATCACTCAAATATAAAGCCACCACATTTACATTTGAATATTTACCTGCCAGCTGTATGGGGACACTGGGGAATTCACTTCATTTGTTGAGACACTAAAAAGTAAGATGAAAGGTATTATGAAGCACACTACATTTTTGTGTACTTTAAAACAAGTTACTGAAAAACATTAAAAAAATGAACCCTTAAAAAGTGGCTTCTCCAAAGCCATCTGTATAAGATGTCACAATGTGGCTTAGAAGTATGATCACTTATCTAAAATCTGAAATCATATTTTGCTCTCCCTTAATATAACTTGACAACTTCCACACGACAGTACTTTATTCAGATAAAGCTTCTTTTGAATTTTTAGTTTGTTTTGGATTTAAGTCTCAGACCTGCCTGTTTCATTAACAAAAAAGGAAAAAGTAAATTTAATTATTCCCCAATTACCCTATAAAAAAGAAGCCCAACAGAGGTGTACACTTGAATAGGTAACAGCAACTCATAGAGAAGAACATGTGGGAAGTAAGCAAGGCCTGGAAAGTTCCAAGTAACAGCTGTAGCATGAGTCACACAACCACAGGACATGTGTGCAGCCAGCTGTGCAAAACCACAGGTACCACTGAGAGGGGAGACAGCCAAAATAGGGTGTGTCATGCTGAAGGAGCTGCACTGGGTCAAGATGCTCTGCTGAGTTGTAGCTGAACAGCAGAGAGCCATCTCCACCCCACTGCTATCCAGCACCACCAGCAGTTACAGCATTTTTCTCTCCAAATTGGGGAAATTAGGGAATTTCCCAAGTCCCTAAAGACAAGGATTTGGTTATTTTTGATTATTGACGGTTTCTGGGGTTTTTTGCTTTGTTTTGTGTGTGGGTGTTGTGTTTTCTTTTATTTTTTTTTTAATTCAAACAAAAAGCCTAAGTACAGCTCCTGCAGACAGTGGATTCGTCAGTAACACACCCTCCACAAACAATAAAGGTGCTGTAGGCTGAGCTCCCAGCAACACTTTTCCAACAGCTCTTAAGAGCAGTAAAGGACTGCCAAGGAGGAAAATTTAGATGCCTAAGCACAGCTCCAGTGCCACCCTGTGTAACACAGGATAAGAGACCTGCACAGCACCGTCACCTATGGGAGAAGGTACAGCCTTCCACACTGGAACTGGAAGTCTGAAACACAGATGAATTGCTGCCATAATCTGACCTACAAATTTGTTTCTGGATGACATCAATTTTCCTAAATGCTCAGAAAAACAGATTTTTCTTTTTTTAATCTGAAAGAAAGAAGCTCAAGAATACATTACTCTTGTAGCTTCAATTTCATCATCAGCTAAAAGCGGTATGACGAGAGATGTGACAGTAGTGACACAAACAAAAATGAATCTAATAAAAGATTGAAAGTTGTGATTCATTAAAGTATATCAATACCATTTTTCAGATTCCATTGGTTGCTTTGGCCTGCTCCTTGTGTTTACTGAAACGGAATGATTAAGAAGCCTAGAGAAAAAAAAAAACAACAAAACATATTTAAAACAATTTTCTTAGAACATGTTACTTTCAGTGCATCACATTTCCTGTAAATGAAAAAGTTTTGAACATTAAGTGGCATCTTCCATAAAACTGTGTGTGTACACACAAAATCCAAGCCCATTCCTGCTTCCATCTGAATTAAGAGTATAATTTCCAGCTCTTGAAGTATTTCAAGTTCCTTATCTTAAGGAAGCAAAACTTGGTGGTAATTCAAACCAAAATGAAGTCTCCTCTTATTTTTCTACCTAAATAGGTACTATTTCAACTGATCTCACACCTGTGTAAAGTCATGCTGCTCTCAACACAAAAGATCCCATTGTTCACTAAAATTAGAATACAAAAGACGCTCTACCTAAAGCAGCCCAGAAAAGATCGAGACAGACTGAGCACAAAAAAGTCAGTCAGGAGGGGCAGATGAGAAGGTGACTGAGAAAGAAACACTGCAAGTGCAAAGGAAATGTAGGTAATAAGGTAAGGTGGAAAACTGTGAAACAGGCTAAGAACTAAATGAAAAAATTTAACATAGAATTTAATGGAAATTCCATTTTTCTAAAAGGTAAACAGCCAAAAAAGCCTAAACTTACAGAGATTCAGAATGGTGTTTTCATCTACAGCAAGCACATACTGTGTGCATGTGCACAGGAAGATGATAGGAGCTACTGTGGATGTTTTAAGTGTTAAAAACAACAAAACTATTGGCAACACTTAAAACAAAATGTTTTCAAGTAATCATCACCTTGAACTTAAGTGACGAATTCTGAACTCTTGAAGGTAGCAATATTACACTTCGACATGAAGTTCATGTGCAGAAGTGTGATGACCATGTATTTACACAGAATTATGTTGAGAACTAGAATGTATTAAGAATCAGTACACAACCAACTATTCAATGGAAGAAAGTAAATCAGTAGGCCCCTTTTTATATTTTTTCACCATTACATAGCGCAGCACGGTCATTAACTTTAAATGATTGATGATTTTTCAATCAAACTTCTCTGATGACTGTGATAACTTTGAGCTCAGTAATCTCATTTGCAGTATAAACCTCTTGTTGTGTGACCCCCAGTTTAACAGGATTATGAGAAGTTAAGCCTGTAAACCTGTAAATGTCCGTAAAAGTTAAAGCCTGTAAAAGTTAAGCCTGTAAATGTCTGCTGCACTCAGTCTATAGCATCTGCTTCCTATATTTTGTGTTCAGAAACTAAGTTTTGAGGGTGCATTCCAGAATTAATTTATACTACAGCCTGAAAAGTTTAGCCAAAAAAAGAAATATTCAGAGGATGAGTTATCAATCCAGAGTATAAACATGCTATTTTAAAGTCATTACTTTTTATAGAGAATCCCTATTTAAACTACCTTTGCCTTCAAGTGAAAGCAACAAGAAATTCAGTGAGACTTTGTAGCAAGCAACGATTATAAGTTAAAAAAAAAAAATTAGAGTCAGTTTGATGCAGCAATTGCACTAAAACTGACACTGATAGTGTAAATGCAGTGATTGTATATATCTAGGCTATTCCTTTTTTTATACTTATATGAAATGCAAGGAAAAACTATTCAAGCTATTATATATATATATATGTATATACACACACACTTTTCAGCTACTTTTCACCATTTCTGTGCAAAAAGTGTATAATTAATGACTGAGTTTGTGAACTAAAATTATTTGAACAAAATATATTCTTATACTTCCTAAAACAAAACCAGTAATTTTTGAAAGTTCCTGTTTAAAAACTGAAGAATATTGATGGGGAAGTAACAGCAAGTTCAGTATCTGACATGTTGCAAGCCCAGTTATAGAAATCTCAATTTCCTGTGGAATAATGACCTTGAAAGCTTTTAACTAAGGAAAACAGTGAAGAAAATTAAGCTGAATTTACTAAATTGCAGGCAATTGGCAAAATAATTTGTTCAGCTGGAAGGGGATCTAGGGGAATCATTGCAGGCATGTTATTACTGTCTTCCAGAAAATACAATTCAAAGCAGAGTATGTAACTTGAAAGTAGAAGTAGCTCAAGTTCAAAAGTTACACTCAAGTGTGGTGGTGATGGTCCAACAATTTCAGCAACCATTGCCATTCATACTATCACTCATTAAAGCCAAAAGTTTTATTGTACAGGTCAATTATGGGGACAAATACTGATGATCTGACTGGTGAACTAGGAACTTGCACAGGATGCCTGTGCTAGAACTGCATTTAATTTCCTACTTATGATTCCTGTATATCACACCAATTCTGTTGTTACAGAGGTAGCACACAAACTAATCCTCTGCAAGCGTTCTAAAACCCAACACAATTTTTAAAATCTAAATCACTCAACACCACATATTTATATATTCTACTTCAATATAGTGCAAGCACAGCATCTACTCCAAAGTGCTTGACCAGATGAGAGAAAAAGGCAATGGCAAGACCAAAAATGATACTGGAAAATATTTTCTCAAGTTCCAGGATTTAAAGAGCAGGATATCTTCTCAGCCACTTATACTTTCAGATTTCATGCAATGATTAATGGACACAAATGAAGTGAACAATGGTAGTGTTATTTTAAGATTAGCTATCTTCAAGTTTAGACAAGCAAGTATGACCTTGAATCTATAAAGGGTAAAAAAGACACTAGAAATCCTGTGCAGTGAGACAAAGATGATTTATTTTCAACTTGTTCCAGAGCAATCCACTGACTTCACATCTGGCTCTGCTTTGTGACTGAAGCTGTGCTCTTCTGGATTTAGACAGTTTTAGGAAATCGCTGCTGCCAGGTAAGAACCCAGACTTAATTTTGACACAAATTCAAACAGGCTCATTTGGAACCAATGAAAATTACTTAATCTAAACTAATCTACTGTCTTTTTCAAAAGACAAGGAATATCCAGACCAAGTTACAGAGCTTAAATTTATAAAGTAACAAAGTCTGAAATCACTTCATTCAACACCTACATGGCTTGAGTATAGTCTACATTATACTCCAATTTTATGTTACTGGTGTGGTTCATGTTACAAATACTTCCACCATGGGTCAAATGCAAAACAAATTGTCAAATTTGTCAATTAACAAATTATCAAAGTAACAAAAACACCAAACAAACAAAACCCCAATAAACTAAATGCTTCACTTTGCCTGAGGTACTATATCTGAGATTGTACAGTTAAAGAAAAATAAGTTTTATGTTTGGACTCAAAGTGTTCTTTGGATAACTTCCTAATTAAATGTTTTTCTTAATATTTCATCCTAAAGAATAAGATTGCACTGCAAACGGATTTTGATAACAAAATATCTTAGGCTAACTCAGCCAACCCCTTTAACTCTGTTTTCGTTCAAGAAATGGCCAAGAGCATTTCTTTTGTCCACATTTGAACTCTTTATACCTTGATGCACGTCCTGCCGCCCTGGTCCTCTGGAAGAGCTTTTCACTGAATGAAGTTCTATAGTTTAGTGGCCTTCGTCTGTATTCACATTTCATGCACACCAAAGCCAAAGACGGAAGGAGGAAGCAGGATAGGTTGATGGGAGAGGACAGGGAAGTCATTAGCACAGCAAGCAAAAGGAAAGGAGACTGTATAATACTACAAAAACATAGACTGAACAAACAGAAACGTGATTAGTAAGGAATTACTTTGTGATGCTTAACTTTCCTGAGGATTCTGATCACTGATTGACCATATTTTTCACAAATAAGCATAGAAATATCTTCACTAAATTCTAAATAATATTCTTATTGCCAGTTAAAAAACCCCATGAATTCAAAATCAGGGCTCAATTTCCTATTAGAGGAGATTTTGAGCAAAAATTCCTAGAGATTCAAAAGCAAACTTTAAAATATAAATGCTAAACTAAATGTAAAACTTAAGAACTATTAAAAGATTGCACATCTGAGTAATTCAAGACAAAGCAGAACAATTAGCAAGACTGCATTAAGACACACCAACATATGATAAGCAAAATTCAAGTTGCAGTACTTCAGAAGAGGAGTGGCTTGGCATTTCAAATGATTAGATAACAGGGACATACGCAGTAACACAAGAGCCTCATGCAACATAAATAGCCATCATATAAAAACCTAATATAAGAAAAACACCCTCATTCTCTCTTCCTTAATAGGAGAAAATTATGCATTCTTGGCCTTATTTGCAGCACTTTTGGTACTGAGAATACACCAGCATTAAGATTTCATTCTTATTTTTCCCCTTCTTCTGAACAACAACCAATTCTTGAATGCACGGCTTGGAGTTCTAAGCAAAACCTATTTTATCTTTCACATATGCACACTATTGTTACTATATTTACCTAATATAAAATGCTGGTGAATTTTTAAGATCCTGCAATTCATAATATTGGGGGTCTCAGTTTCTCTGAGCGCGTCATATGTATTTCAACCATCTTAAAAGCAAAGCATCAGAGTCTTATAATTACACAGAAATTTCAAAGAAAAGAAAACAGTATTTAAGCTGATATGAACTTACATCCATTTTTGTGGGATACTGAATGAATGGTATGAACTATTTTAGTTGATGAAGTACTATTAAATACAATTTTCACCTCTCAGAGGAGCTTACTCTTGAAGTACCTTACAGCATCTGCCTTCTTGGTAAAGGAAGAGGACAGAAACTGCTCCTACACCAGCCTGGACATTTCTGGTGTGACTCCAGATATTCCCTCCTGTTCTTCGTTTTACACAGTTGCTAATTTGTTCTATTGCATTCCTTTAACCTGCTGCTTGTTCCATGGCTCCTTTACAAAAACTTTTCTGTTGAGATGCCCATAATGAAGCAGAGAAAGGCAGGCAGTTGAAATGATGTATCTTTATACACAGATACTGTCATTTGATAAAATAATGTTCAAACCAATTTCCCCTTCAGTCCACTGGATATATTGACTGAAGGAAGTATCACCTAAATTAGCTTGTATTTGAATAAAAATAACCAGTCACAAACAATCTGTAGGGAGGTTGTGTAATTCAGACAAGAAACAAGGACAGGTGTCTTGACAGAATCTGTCACTTTAGCAGCTGGACAAAACTGTTCTCAGAATAAGCTGTCAAAAGCTTTTGGGTATAAGAGACGTTAAAGAATAAATTAATTGTAACAAAAGTTATTTTAACTAATATTGTTATACCTGTGTTTTTGTTCTTGCTGCAACAATTGAGCTGCTATTTTTCTTAAGTCAGTCACTTCTTTGAGCTCATCATCATCTTCAGCCAGCAGCTGTTCTTTCTGAAGTCTGAAAAATTAAACATTAGTGACCTGCCTGACTTCAGTGAAGCAAGACACAGAAATGGCTCATTATGGCAGTAACTAAGCAGTGCTTCCTATAAGCTTATTCTCTGTCCAAGAGGAACACCCTGTTCAATGTAAGAATTATTTCCTTCATATGCAAGGACCTTTAAAAACCCCACTATCACCCCTGCCACTACTAGTAAAACCTACTCAAAAAAGACAAAGATGATTTACCTTTTTTCATCTCCCCAGTCCTCATTTTGTTCTATTTTCTGGGATTTCTCAGGATGTTTTCCCTGCTCCTTCAACAAAACAGAAAAAAAAAAAAAAAAAAAAAAAGTTAGAATTTAATTAAGGGTAAAGAAAAGAAAAAAATCAAGGCTACTGAACAGTTTTTCTTTTGTCAGTCTCTGTACCTTGACATAGGAGAGCAGGGGCCCAATCTGTGCATCTCCCTGGTCAGGGAGAGCTCCCTCCTCTGTGTTTGGATCAATGTAGTCAAACGCCTCCTGGTCTAGGAATGATTTATGAAGAAAAAGAAAGATATTAAAACAGTTATCTTGACCAAATGTTATTCCTGAGATAAAGAAGTACTTAAGAAACATGTCAGATAAAGATAAAACATAGAAATTGTGCCTTAAGCTAGAAATAGTGGGTTTTTTTTCTCTCAAGCCTTTTCTGCTTGTGATTACCTTGTTTTCTGAACTGATGAAAATACAATATCAACACACAATCCTATAATTTTGTGCCATTTTCTTACATTAGATTACCTATGCAAAGTATCTCTGTTACCTAAAATGACAAATGCACAGCTGCTATTACCTTTCTGTGGATCGAGTTTACTTCCCACTACGTGATTGTCATTCCTTAATGTCTGTTCCCTTGTTGATTCTGATATCTGGGAGTGAAGGCTGATTGTATCATCATCAGATGGCTGCAAAGACACTCACATTTAGTACAGAACTGACATGCAAATGGTATTATTGTATGATTTTTTCTATTCCTGTCATATCATATTAATTAGAATCAACCTTAACCAGAAAAGTTAAAGAAATACATAAATAATTTGTGTCTGACATGGCAGTCTAAGGGTTTAAACTCAACTGTACCCATTAAATGCAACTTAGTGGGATATTTCTCAAATGATATAAAATACAAAGGAAAAAGTTCTAAAAAATCAGAAATTACAAGTTTAACAGTGAGAAAAATACTTACTTCTGTAGTGGACAACCTTTTATCCCCATTATCACTTCCAATGCCAGAGTCTGGTCCATGGTTTTTATTGGGATAAAAGTCCTCCATGCTACATTAAGCAAAACAAGACACAACCCACACAAGAATGAAAGTCACAGTAGCTTCACTTTCCATAAGAAAATAAACATACTTTTCAAAATATGCTCTCTAGACTCAAAAACCTCACTACTCACCTGTCTGTGAGTGGCTGGGAGGGGATTCGTTTACCTAACGATGGAAGATCCAAAGAATCTGGTTTTTTGTCTATTCTGAGGCACGCCTGAATACTGAGGAATTTAAATATATGTACTTTGCCCTTTAAACATATCTGTTGGGAAACAGGAACAAAAAGAAGTCTTAATTACACAGCACGTCTGCTGAGAATACACCGCAAGAAATGCTGCACTGCATTTACAGCCACAACACCTCAAAAGGAGAAATACAAGAAATACAGATTAAAAAAAGCAAAAAAAAACCCAAAAACCAAAACCCCAACTTGATTGGTATAACTTAGAACAGCTTCCTCTAAGATCTTAATGTCAATTTCTGTAGTTGTGTGCTTTAATACTAACCTGTGCTGGTGGTATCTGCATTGGATTGTTATCCAAAACTATAACTTGTAAGTGACGTAACTTTCTGTAACAAATGGGAATTTCTGTAATTTTATTACAAGAAAAATCCAGCTTTACCAAGGGAAGGTCTCCTAATTCTGCATTCAGGAAAAAAAACAAAGAACATCAACAACAAAAAAGAATCAGTTATCTTCTTAACATGTTACCTAATTTGCCTACATCAATGGAAAGAAGATGAGTAGCTCACCATCTGGCAACATATGGAGATTATTTCTTCTTATGTTCAATTCTCTAAGTGACTGCAATTTTCCTATTTGCTGAGGAAGAACTTGAAGTTCATTACAGCTAATATCCTAAGAAAGATATAATTAATAAATCAACTGAACATCTTAGATGAAATTACACAGAGGAATACTGAGATCAAAACTATTATAAAGCATACTATTAAAGGAAAAGAAATCCAAGAAAAGAAATCTAACTATCCTGGCTTTTCCATGGAGAAGATGTACCATAACAGATCTTGCTGGTTTATGAAGTGATTCCAGAAATTTAATTCAAGAAGTTAAATCAATGAATGATGAAATAATGGATTTGAAACGAACACTGTAGCCTAGGAATCTGGAGTTCCTGGTGTAGTTCCCAGATCTGTCAAAAACTTCTTGTGCTATTGCTGGCAATTGACTGGCATTCTGCTCCTCTTCTAAAAATTCTTTTTCCTTAATAAACCTTGAACCAACCCATAAAACTAAAAATGTACAGACAGCAATAGCAGGCTCACCAGCTGTTTGGATACAAGCACTAGAGGGTGACAAAGCTGCATCAAGTGAACACAGGCTACAGCTATTTCTGACACTAATTTAATATTAATTTATGTAGACCAGAGTGATTAAACAATCACATAGAGTCTTTCTAGCCTTCTTATATTCTAAACAGGTATGGAATGAAACTCTCTCTACTATGTCCTTAATCATCATCAAGCATGTATTCTGGGTTTGACAAACTTGAAATATAAACCAAAAATATCAATAAAACACAGAAACTGAATTTAAATGTTGTAGTTCTATATTTAAAAATATTAATAATTTATTGTACTGAATATATAATGAATATGTAGTATATATATAGTGCTTGTAAGAGTACTTACTACAAAGATTTGCAGTTGTACTTACCAACTCCATTAGATCTCTCAACTTCCCAATTTCTTCTGGAATGGAGACCAGCTTGTTATTACTGACAACCAGAACTTTCAGTGGAAGATCAAACAGGTATTTTGGCAATGTTGACAAAAGATTTCGACTTGAAAGCAAAAAAAAGGGACAAGCAAACCTGGATTATAATATCTTTTTTATGAATATTGTAACTTTTCTCCCATCCCAGATGACTTTCTCCACCTGTAACAACTTCACCTACACTGTCCATCACAAATTCCTTATCAGATACACAGCCTATTTCAGGTATGTGAATTTTAGATCCCCATTTCACAGGACAGAATCTAATACCAAAATGTTCAGAGAAATTTGTTAAAAGAAATAATGTTTGCCACTTGCTTTTATCCTGCTGGTACCTTCAGAAGAACCACCGGATCTGACAGTCTACCAAGCCAGAATTTTATATAAAGGCCATTGCCAATCATGCCATGTTGTTGTGTCCCTCCTGAGCCACCACAAAAGACCCTAAACATTTAATTATTTTGCTGAGCAACAGGCTGGAAAGTAAGTCTTAATTAAAATGTATTTCTTCTGTGTGTACCATTTTCCAGCTGCATGCACATATACTTGCTTTGTACACATAAAATACACTGCTATCCACTACTGGGTTTAAATCTATACTGAAAAAACTACCCATATTGATGGACTTCCATTGCCAGAAGCACATAATATGTTTCTGATAAGGTACATTTTAAGAAGTCATTGGAAAACAAGCTTGGTCAAATGTGATACAGAAAAAAAATTCCTGTCACATATACTTTACAAAAGTAAAAAAATAAAAATCTGTAATTGCTGTTGATTTAGGTAGAGCTAGCTCTACTTCTGCAAAAAAAAATATACTTTTAAGCACTGATACTTGGGTTCATACTACATTAAGAAAAATACTAGAAGTTTTAGTGTCTAATTGATATGTATTCAAAGCATTGTTTTTGTAATCTAAAAATCTTGGGGTTTTTTTAAGATTTTCTCCATGATTACAGTTTACAGAACTGCAACATTACACCATAAAATGAAAGGAAATTTCTAACAATACCTTTATAAAAGCAATGTATTCATTCTGTTAAATTCTAAGTGAACAATACAGGTGAGTTATTTATACAAGTATGCATAAAGTCTCTTTTTATGTTGCATTTCAAGCAGATATGCCAGGCTTTTTTGGTTGAAGGCATGAGAAGCAAAAATATAACATGCAAGTAAACTTTTTTTGACCTGACTGTAAGAACGTGGGAATGAAGCAGTCAGTCATGTCACTTACATAGATTTCCTCTGGTTTTTCTGGGTTTTGAGTTTTTTTAGGAGCTGCCTGCTTTACTGTGAAATGCACAATACCTTTTTTCCACCGTATGAAGCCCAAATTAGAATGTGAGACCATGTGGTTTTCTCCTGCAACAAAGCACCTGAGCTAGGAAGGCAGAATTTTAGCCTGTTCTCCAGTGCTACAGCCCACACGTTCCTGCACTGTAAAACTGGTCCTTGGCCAGAAGCACAGAAATGGGGACAAAGCACTGTTTGGCAAAGGATCATCAGGAGAGTCACCTCTTGAAAGAAGTTAGAACTACACAGCATTTCTGGGTAAAGAAATGTATTCAGCACCTCAAACACCATCAAAAGAGAAATGGGATGTTGCTGAAGAAAGTTTGGCCATATTTCTTTTAGAAAATCCTGTGGTTTTGTATCAAATTAATCCCCTTTAAAATTGTGACAGAGCACGTTACTTATGTATTTGTACTCTAAGAACTGATATTTGCAGGTTTTGAGACACAGTAGGTTTTGGGAATTTAAATAGCTCTTAACTGAGAAAACTGTTTTGGATTTGATGCAGCCAATATCAGAACCAAGGAGTACTGTGGAAAGCAGGGTCAGGAGAGCTTCCTAGATTCTCTCTCCTTCCAAAGCTCATATTCATCTTCTGTTCTAGTGAGAAAATCCAACCACATGTTTTCCAAGTTTAAAATGAGCAGTACAGCAGTGAATGTAAATGATGTGCAAAATGAGCAGGACTTTCTGGACAGTAATTTATCCTCTTGATAGCAAATTTTTATAGCTGTAGTTTCTGAACACTGTCTGTCAACATAACATCAGAAACAAAGAAAACTCTGCAAACACAATGACCTGATGAAGCAAAACACCAACTCCCTAAAGAGGTAAGTTATATAAAGACCAAGACCAACCACCATTACTCACCTAATGTTAAGGTAGGTGAGCATTTGCAGATTTTTAATAGATTCTGGAATGGATTTGATGCAGTTGTGATACAAATTTAAAGTTTCCAGTGGTGCAAACAGCCAGACATCAGGAGGAATTTCAGTAAATCTGTTCTTTGAAAGATCTAGAAGCAAACAGAAAAAAATTTCCTTTTTTAGTCAAGACTTTCCCTGCAGTAAAAGGAGATAAAAGTACCCACTGTTATTCTTGTCATGCTCTTAAAAATTAAGGTGTTGAAAGAAGTGTAAAATAATTCCATTTTACCAGATGCTACTGCATATAATTAATACACAAAAGAGTCTTAAAATACTAAAAGATTATTGCTCAATATGCAATTACAACAGAAAGTAGAGGAGTGACAGGAATTCAAAAATGCATTTCCTACTACATAGTTACAGTTACAATTACACTGAATATCAATCATGATTGTCCCTCCTCTATCAAGTCTTTGTTCTGTGCAATTCTTGGCTTTCTTCCCCTTCAACTCCAGGCACAGCAGTAAACCAAGGTAAAAACTCCAAGTCATTTCTCCAGTTTGACATTTTGATGTTTGTTGTGTACCAAACATGGTACAATGTTTGATACATTGTACCATGTATCTCCAATGCTAAAACCAAGCTCTCAAAGCACCCTTACATAGTAACTGACATTCTCCAGCTACACATTAGTAACTTAGCTAAAAGGAGGATAAAGTTGCAAAACCCAATGCCACAAGTATTTCTCTATAAAAGTCAAGATGCAATTTCGCACGGCCTAAAAGCAGAAAGAGGAGGTATCTTTAAGCATGGAAACACAATTCTTGAGCTAGAGTTATTCTGACACTGCATGACTGCATTATGCAAATCTGCATGCAAGAATTATGACAAAACAGAGCATTACCAAAACGCACAACACCTCTGACTATATGAAACCTTGAAAAAAACCAGAAAATACAAATGAAATGTGACCCAAAATTCTTGGAAATTATCAGCTAAACTACCAAAACCTGTGCCATCGGAAGCCTACCAAACCACCTTGGAAGAAAGAGATATTTACTTGAGAACAACTGCCTAGTCTTATGAAAGGAACTCTGGTTGCCAACCCAAGACATTTCAAAAGGATGTGGTTTCTCAGAAATGCTGAACAAACTCTTTTAACAGAGAAGTAATACAGATCCCTTGCTATTTCAGGATTTAGTTCTCAGTTTTTAACACTCATATGGAATAAATGTTTCTGTTTAACTCCCATCAAATTATCACTGGAACAAACAGTTCTGCAAAAAGTCTAGAAAAGGGTTGGAAAATTGGCTCCAAGTCATTGTCAGGTTCAAAGAGAGCTCAACAACCTGAAGTTTAACTGACAAACCAGATATGAGCAGCATTTCCCAGGGCCAACAGTGGAATCAATATTGCTTAGCTTCTTCATCACCAACCTGGCAAACAGGATAGAATGTGCCTTCAGGAGGTGCAGACAGCACCCAGCTGGAGCGATGGAATGAGAGCCAGGACCTCACCTGGCAGACACCCAGCTTGAATAAAGGCTGACCTGTGGCAGATCCCTGCTCACACCAGTGTGAGCTGCAGGACAGAAGGGTAGAGGAAGGCTGTGCAGAGAACACCCTGTGATGCTGCTACACAACAGGCTGAGTGCAGGACACCAGGGTACTGAGCAGAGGGAATGGCCTCCAGAGCGTGCTGCAGGTGATCAGCAAACAAAATGGACTGGCACAATGAAACACCATCTTCCTGTGGAGTTATTTTTGGCAGTAGCTATAACTTTACTTCTTGAAGTCTAAAATATGTGAAATTTCATGTGCTATCTGGCTGTAACTCCATTATTTCCAAAAAACATTCTCAAGCTTAAGTATCACAAAGTCTTCCTATAAATCAGGGTATCCACTGCTGATGCAGAATTCTGCAATCTCTACCTGCAAGAGGCAGAAAAATACATTCCTGGGTTCAAGGAGTGGTATTCCTAATGAACTGTGAGAAAAAATGGAATAAAGTCAACTAAAACTTTTCAACAAAACCTAAAAAGCTTATTAAAAAAATCTCCATGCTTGAGAAAGTTTTCACAACCAGTGAAGTTCATTTTCTGTTTTCCATGACATCAGTTTTCAAAATGTTGTTGAAAAATAACAGCTTTCACATGGAAGTTTTCTGCAAAACCCTTCTTAAACAAATGCTCTTGTTCTAATATTCAGCAGAGCACAACACCTGCATGCAGAAGAGATGCCCACAGTTTTATTCCTGGCTCAGTTCTAAAACCTCTACCACATGCTGAAGTCTTTGACACAAACCCATTTGGAAAAAAAAAAACCAGCTTTAAGCCTCTTCCTGATTTGGTTTCATAAGCAGCTGGAACAGTGACTGAAGACTGCTACAAAGGTCTAGTCCACAAAACAAGTGACAGAATCCCACCCCACAGCCACTGGTCCCAGGAGCAGCACTGTGGGTTGTACATGAATGAGAAGGCTCAAGGCACCAGGAAAATTTTGCTGCTGTATTTGCTTCCAGCCACACCTCAACCACACATCTTGGAAAGTCCCAGGTTAAAAACAGCTTTGCTAGATCTTCTGCATAAATAAAATCCAGAGGCAAGGCCAGACAACAAGCAGAGGATGCAGCAACTCTGCCATGGACAAGGGGTGTAATACTCCACGGGGAACATAAACCAGCTGTGGTTTCCAGACTGGCCTGACACAAATCACATCAGCACAGTCTGGCTGGAGCCCCTCAGTGCACCTCGTACAGAACCCATACAGCTGCACATCAAAATACATACCAAAGTCACTTTATTTGTGTATTACTGTAGAAACCACTTCTCTGGAGACAATGCCTTTGAAGACACTGCGGGGCAAGGATTACACCTTTTTATTATGAAACCCAGAAATTTATTAAACTAGGAAATGACACCCACTATCTCTCAACAATAAAATAAAAAAAGGCAAATGAAGGACTTCTATTCCAAGCAATTTTTCATTCCATCATTGCAAAACAGCATTAGAATAGCTCCAGGGGTTGGTTCAGATTTTTATGAAGAGAAAAATTTGAGTATCTATAGTTTTCCACAACATTCTCATATTGTACTTACGTACTTATAGCCTTTTAAAATTAAGTAAAGACAGTTTTATCCACAGAATGATTTCTACTCCAAAAATGTTTTCATAACAAACAAGAAGTCTATGAGATAGTACTGTCTATTATGCTAAGTAAAATGTAGATGTGAAACTCACACAATTTAGGTACTTTGAAGTACTTTAGGTACCTTAATACAATGGATGACCAAGAAAATACAGTCTGAAAAAAGGACAAAATTCTAGGAATAGAGTGGTCCTCTATAAACAAGACAGCTTCAATCCCACTTGCAGTGAAAGCAGGCTGCTAGCACTTGAGAATGGCTTTGTCAGGGTTAACAGACTGGAGAAGTAAGGAAAGCTGCTAAATGCAGAACCACAGATGATTTAAGTTGACAACTCCTCTAGAAGTGATTATAGGAATCCTTCACTTAACCAGTTTAGACTGGAAAACTCAGTGGGAGTGTTATGTGAGGACTAAAGAGAAGACACTACCCATGCCTGCTCATGAATCAAGGGGTATTTCAAGTCACTATCTCTGCAGGAACAAGGAAAGTGAGAAGTACACTTACTAAGGTTACTAAGGTTAAACTGAAAGAGGAACTACAAAAATATGAAGAAGTCAGTTGCCCTTTAGTTTTTTTTTGACAGAAAAAGTAAAGTCATTAGTTACTATAAGATAGTGATTTAAAAAACAATATATAGAAAGATCAAAATGAAAGAATTTTAGGAAATCAGTCTGGAAAGGAAACTATAAGAAGTGAGAAGTTATCTTGTACAAATTTAAGCCATGATCAAGAGGGAAAACAATAAGCTCAATCTGTCAGGTTACAGCAGTGTGCAGCCAGATATTTAAGTAGTATTAACTTCATTTGTTGTTTCGTTAAGTAGTATTTGACTTCGTTTTGCATTTTTCCCTATGGATGCAATACTGCTTACTGTCAGGAATGTGCTGAAAAAACAGACTAGCATTTTATTTAAACCAGTAGAACCCCTTTTATATTCAAATATTATGTACACTACATGTTGAGTTTGAAATAAAAGGCTCAGCTAGGAAATTTACACTTGAATCTCATCTTGATATTTTAACATTTTTCATAAAAATATGATGCTGATCCAGGATGTTGGTGTTCGGCATTTGTTTGCTCCAAAATGGTATTAAGAAACCAGATCATAAAACCCCCACATTCTTCACCCCACAAAACCCAGAACCACACTCCTAACACATCACAGATTTTCCTAGTCACCTAGGAAAAGCTAGCAAGGCTTTAGCCTAAACCAACCAAAGTCTAAGAACAGTTTTGACTGTAAAATTAGTCCTACAGAAGACAACTGATGCTCCAAAACAAGTGTTCAGACCTGATCTCAAAGATACTCTTTTAGCCAATCTAAATGTAAATCTGAGATCACCCCACAGAACATGGGTAAAATTCATTTGTCTGTCAGATGCAAAATGATTCTGGAGCAGAAGAAAGTAGCCTCAAATGCTACAGAAACACCTGCATGTGGCATCTCCAGAAGACACAATCTGTCAATGTCCATAAACCACTGACTAAAGAAAGCTTTGTTACATAATCAATGAAATTGGTTTGTTCATGCTAAGGGCCATTTCTGTGGTTAGTCACAGCAGACAGATCTCTCCTGCCTTGATTAGTTTCTCAACAAATTGGAGAAGAAGCCTCAGGAGAAAGGAACTCTTAAGCTTCCCAAGCTCACCTCAAATGGGATGTCCCTCCAGTATTTCCCTCAAACTCTACACATCTACTTGTAGCTTCACAGTTCCAATCTTAATGAGTGTCTAGTGTTGTTAAACATAGAAATGCTTTAAAATTTTCTCTTCAAAGGAAAAACCTGGATAATTAAATAATAAATATCAGAATTCTTCAGACTTAATTATGTTGCAAAATGAAGTACTGAACAATCAAAATGCATCCAGATGTAGGATGATTTCCATACTGATATAAACAGTAACCATTTCAGTTGCAAAGGAGACCAAAAATTTTGAACTTAGTGGCAAAGAATGTTCAAGAATTACAGCACCATAAATCCAAAAATCCATGTAACTGCATTTCACATACAAATCAACA